ATAGGGGAAGCTTCCAGCAGCTTCTCGCAGAAGACACCCTGGTAGCCCCCTCCGCTACCAAAACCCCGCCGCACAAACCCAATACAGCTGACTGATACCTGCTGAATGGATACTCCAATTCAGATATATATTCTGTTCAATAACTGTCTTGATAGGTAGAGTAATATGCAATTTTATACATGAAGTGACATTACTTTCATAACAATTATTATTTGTAACACTGTTTTTGAATGGAAACATGAAAATTTCTAGTCCAGAAATGTCAATCTTTAAAAATACTTCACATGTATTTTTTCCTGTCAAAATGGACATTTTCATGAAGACCATCTCAATGGCTACAAATATATTTGAAAAATACTGCATCAAAAAATTTCAAACAATTCCTGGCAGAATCTTTGTTTTGAACAGTAGCATCCTACAACATAAAGGGATTCATATCTTTATAGTTGCAAACAGGATTAAAATGTCCTTATCTTGCATTTTGACACATTAAAATCTACATTGACCTGAATACTTCCTGCCTTTAAATTTGAAAATGTTTAAAATTAGTATGTGCAAACTTTAGGGTGAACCAGCTACAGCTGATTTATGCACCACTTTTGACAAATCCACACAAATTTGAAGTATTTCAAGGAACAAAAATATTGTCTTAATTACATGTTTTATTTAAGGCACATATAACTCATTCTACATTTGTTTCCTCCCCAGAGTCACTCCACTATTTTAGACAAGAAAGGAAGAATAAAACTAAAACGCCCTAGTCTTAAAACTGTTTGGGGTCCACCTGTAAAAACTGTGGAAGGGTAGTACGTCAGGTGAAGGAGAATCTGTTATCTGAAAATGAAAAATTAAACTATCTTCATAGAGAAGTACAATTAAAAGGACTACTACATAGAACAAGGTAATCATTGCTTTTAATAGTAAATCTGCTGCTATGAAAAGCATCCTGCCAACATAGCTGATTATATGTCCTGGTATGAGGTTCTGAAAACAAAACAGGACAGACTTTCAACAGTTCTATCTTCAGATGTGCACAGCTGTCGCTTTAGAAACAAGGAGGTTGAACTACCTGTGCCTCAGTGGTAAAAGGGAAGGTCTGTAGGTATTTTACAAAACAGAGGAATCATAAAGGAATATAAAGAGAATGAAAAATGCTTTTCACACAGCATAAATAAGATGCTAATCTCTCTCTTTAGAAACAGCAGCTAAATAGCATTAATTTACAGGTAATTGCAACTACTTTTGTAGTTAACAAAAATATCTGCAAGTCTAATCTTTCTTCCTGTCCTTTGGTAGCCCCCCATAAATTGGAGCAAAGCATTGACTTTGAAAGAGAAATCCAGCAGGCTCCTCAGGTGTTCCTGTTTGGATTTCATTTTCCCAGACCACAGTGAATCACTCCTATATTGATCTTCTGGCTGCTGCCTCATTGTGTGAAATACATTTGCATTGTACTTTTGGAAGTCACGCTCTTTGTGGTTCACTACCGACCTATGAACTACTGCACGAACATAGAAGTTGTAGAACTTGATGAGCCTTACTGTGATGTAGAATATATGGAATGTCAAATACTGATTTGTATGACTATCATAAAGCTTTTCAAGTTACAGACTGATACATGAGTAGTGGTGTATCCAGTTACTGAGGCAGATGAAATTGCTGCAGGAGAGGAAGAAAGAGGATACAAGAACTCTGGGTCAATCTAGACAGCGTTAAAATAAAACAGTATAAAGAGTAGATGTAAAATGCATTGGAAGACAAAAAGTATTTATTGGATACAAATAGCTTCTCAGCACTAGAAACATAATAATACTACTACTCAGCAACTGAAGGCTAGAGAAAAGATGCTAAGCATCTTTCTTTGTCTGGGCATCATACTGCATGTATAATCATCTTTTGCCCACTTTCTTGTTCTTTAGCAGGATTTGACCGCAAGAATCTCGATGCAACTAAAAAATGAGAGAACACCAGTGAAACATGAGTGCTCTGAACCAGGGCATTTTCAACATGCTCTTGGAGGGCACGTATATATCTTCCTTTATATTTCATTGGACCAGCCAGCTCACAGCCATTCAGATGTTTTAACGTTTCATGGCTTACAGAAATATAATATTGTTTAACTTTTATAAAAAATCATAGAAACAAGGCTATCAAGTTAGGAACAAGGTTTGCTACTGATGTACAAGAATACAAATGAAAAGCAAAATCCTGAACATACAGATTACACCTGAGAGCTGCACATAGAGACAACAGTACAATATAATCAAGTTTACATAAAGGGTTTTCATCCACAGCAAGAAATGATTGCTTTGACTTCTGATAATACCAGAATGATTTTAAGGGCCCAGAGTACATTCAAAGTCTAAGAAAGAGATTAGTAATTTGTTTTAATTGTTCCTAGGAAAAATTTATAGTTTTAGGCAATGACTGGGACATTGTTTCTGCTGCATGTGAGCTATTTGGAAAGTCTTTCATTCCACTGGAAAATATGCATCTTATTAATTAAAAGGAAGAAATCCTAAAGACAACAAAATATTTTAAATGAGATTTTATTGGACTGAGCACCTGTCTTTAGAGTTACTGACCAAAAGTCTCCAGCCCTGGGTTAGACATCAAGAATGTTTTATTGGACATAACTGAAATAACTTGCATTTTGCATTTAGACTAACTTAAAAGGATCAAAATTCAGATTGTCTGTTTTACTGCAAATGTAGGTATTTTGAAATCTACTGCCATTCCAATTTGCTAGTGGGCAGATGACTGCTGTGAGTAAACCATGCCACACTCAGTGAGGCTGTGGCCTGATGCCATTTATTTGTGACCCACAATTTTAAGAACTCCTTCTGAAAGGACATCAATGAAATACAAATGTAAATATATGTTTCATGAATGAGAAATCTGAATACTTCTTACATTTCAATAACATGCCAGAGCTAATAGTGCATCAGTTGACTTCTATATTCATACAGTAGCAGTCAGAAAAAAAACCTTGTAATTATATGCTATTTTGTAAATAGGATGATTTTATTAATTTTGGTCTTGTTGGGATGTTATGACTAAAAGAATATGTTAATTTCAAGTACTGATTATAGCAAAGCAAAAATTAATCTTTACTATCTATGCTTCAAAGGAGCACAGATAGTACAATTACCTGCTTTTTCTCTGCCAGTATATTACTTTTTAATTCAATAAATTCAAAAAATTAATCTCAAATATCCACAAAATAGCATTATTTGTATCTTCCGCTCATACTCATATCCGGATAAATTAGACTATTTTAAATATTCCGTGAAATCTGGCATTGTAAAGGTTAAGTGAAAGGCATGCAAGGGAAAAAGAGGTTGTCAAAGTGCAAATCAAACAAAAGTTTTCTTCTCTTGTACAGCTTCTCCTAGTTATTGTTTAAGCATTGCAGGCCAGTTGCAAAGTAGCAACACTGCTACTGTCTCCAGTATCCCCCAGTTTGCTTGTGTTTATGGATTTGAGGTAAGTCTTCTGTATCACCTGGGGAGTAAATGACTGCAAAGTGCCTAGGATGCCACCCAAGACTGAAGACAATAGAGGTGATTCAATTTCTGAAAGGCAATAGCAAGTCTAGCAGATATTACTGACCAAGGCTATTGAGACAGCTAGCCATAGCCTGCCTCAACATCTAACTGCTGAATAAAAAGCAGCAGCAGCAGCAGCAGAGGACGCGCAGGTTTAGAGCGACAGAAGCCATGGAAGGAAGCAAAACTAAGAGACAGCAACAGTAAGACAAAGTACATATAAACTTTTAATGAATTAACCTTACAAAAGACAATAGCTTCAAAACATTTGACACGTTTGTACAAAACTATTCCAGCATTGTTAGTTCTCTCTTCAGAAAGAATGCCAGCAAGCCACCCAACGTGTCCCTGGCTATGAGATGCAACTGGTGATCACATCCAAATCATGTGTGGACAGAGTAAACTTATTTACAAATACTGTATAGTTTAATACCAGATTAGTGGATGCTATCGGGGAGCGACTGTATTTTCCAGAAAACATCATGCATCAGAAAATAGTATGCACCCCTAGCTTTATTGCCTTTTTTCCCCGCATTTGTCACTAACATCTCTTTTTAGTCCTTTCAGGATGAGTTATCTTCTTTTAATTCCTATTCCTTCTTTTCTTGTCTTTGAATAACAGTGCAAGTAGCAGTACAATCTTCCAGTCCTATAGCGTACATCACAACTGTCCTTGAACATAGGAATATCAAGGTGCAAAATGATGGCTCATGGGACTATTCTGCAGCCATATTAAAATAAGTGCCACATACCAGAAAATAGCACGCATGTTAAGGGCCAAAATGTAGTTAAAAAGTGCGTGATACTTTCCTGAAAATATCGTATTGATGACACGTACAAGCATCTTCAAGATGCCATGTTCCCTTGTGAAAGGGATCTTGTCATTTCAGTATGTACAAAGTATGTCTTCAATTCTCCTTTTCCTTTTACATTTATTATTCCTCTGCAAGTGCTCATGTACCCCAGTGTTTGCAGGACGTTGTTCGTCTCCTCTGTAACCTGCAACAATACAGTAATACAACCAGCATTGATAACAGACCAAAGCAGAATCTTCTTCCAGAGTATGAAGAGAACATATGTTCTGAGCAATTATAAGGGTTTTTTCTATAATGCTTATAAGGCCTTTAAGGGTCTCAAGTGAGGTTTGAGCACCTGAGCTTTCAAATAGTCTGTTGCTGGATGTCCATTCTAATCACTTTAATCAAATATCAAATTTGGTATAACCATTTCTGTACCTAGGATTGCAAACAGAGGGCTCTTAGATACACAAATGGAACTATGGACAACACTCTTCCTCACACAGCATTTTTCTCAACTTCAGGAGCTGCTTTTTATGTCAGTAGACCCAAGCTTCCCCACCTTTTTGCAATTACTAAGGCCGTGTGAATGAAATGACAGTAAGACATTAGCATCATCTGTCAGAGTTGCTGTTGCCAGTTTCCCACATAACTGGCAGTCAACCAAACTTTAGGCAGTTCTGCCATTTTAGATGAAAGCCCACTAGGCCAGAGGTTGTTCAACAGCATCGGTTGTCTCAGACTGTCTGTATTTGTTTGCGAAGCAAGCAACTGTTTGTAGATGTCATTGCTTTGACATCCCTTCTGTCTTCAGTTTTGACCAATGGTTGGTAACTTTAGTTTGCCATTCTTTTCCACTATTTAGTTCTGAATAGTCTGAATCATAGATTTGGAGTGCTCTCAGTCACATGGTGGGATCCTAAAGTGCTAGGCAGCATACTAGGCAGATACTTAAAATGTGATCCCTGACTATGGAATCACCCAAAAGTTAGTAAATTGAAGGTCTTTTCTATACAGGTCTATCTATAATCTATACAGATAACAATCTATAAAGATTATTAATCAGCATGGTTCATTAAAAGGGAAGTTTCATGATTGCTTTATGGATTTAACTTGATGTACAGCAGTTATAGCGATTTCCTTTATTCAGAAATATTTAACATCAGGCATGCTCTTCAGAGATAAGGTAGTTTATGAGTTTAGGAATTCACAGAATAGAAATGTGATTTCCCTCAAATCCTCTCTTAAGCTAGGGATGTATTTCCAGGCAAATCAGGACTTCCTCCACTGTATTCCTCTGTAGGGTCAAGAAAAAATGTTGATTCTCCTCCCATTTTCCCTATTAATTTTCTTTTAATTCTTTACTTTCCTGCCCAAAGTCTAATTATCTTGAAATGTACAGATACAGCTAGTAGGTAATTTTTTTTCTGTAGCTTCAAAATGCGGACCTGTTTAGTGTACAAATATGTGATGGTTTTTAAGCAGCAGACTCAAAGGATTAAGGTAAATACTAGCACAAAACCAAGGCTTACCTGTATTTTATCTAAGACACCAGTGCTGTCCATCCTGCTCGCCACATTTACTGTATTGCCCCAGATATCATATTGTGGTTTTTGAGCTCCAATTACTCCAGCTATTACAGGTCCATGGTTGATACCTAGAAAACATCTGAACTTAACATTACAAACGAAGATCCACCAAACAAGGAGACACAGTGCATCTGGTAACATATCAAGTCAATGAACATGGTATTTGGCCCATGCTGAATAGTGAGTACATCAACCAATAATATGTTCATAACTGTTTTATCAACCATTTACAGCAGGAGGATGTTAGTTATAAAAATGCCAAAAGTTAGTTCATCTAATTTTAGTTTTACAGCTCCCTCCCAACCTGAGTAAATTTGGTATTTTCAACCATTAGTATCCTAATAACCTGCTACTGCCTTTATTAGATAGCATGAGGAACACACTGTGGGAGAGCAGCAGCCTCTGGGAAAACAGATGTACACAAATTTCTTTTCATTTCTACTTGTAGTGAAAAGGGCTTCTCCTCTCTGCAATAGTTGATGGCCAAATCAAATTACTTTTATAATATTCTTTGCTTCTTAAATGTAGAATAAACTAATGTGAATGAGCTGGAAGGATTTGAAGCCTTATTCTGAAGGCTGGATTGCCCATAGAATGGTCTTAAATAACTGCAATATAAATAAATGTATTCAAATAATTTGATTAAGCATGAAGTAAGAGTAACAAATTCCTAGCTCTTAAATGCACACCATAAGAATGAAGAACAACATAGTATAGACTTCCCTCATTAGACTCTGGGCATTTTTTATCTTGCAGTCAGTTTGTATCCTATGTTACATTTGTAAAGAGAGTGAGTTGTACTCTGCTAGTAGAGAAGGAAACCTGGAGGCAAAATCAAAAGCACTATTGTTAACCAGCATCAAATATACTATAATTGTAACTATACATATGGATGAGCAGGAAAGCCAAGTTAGACCTAGTGAGAAATAAACCCTGGACAAGTGAGCAGTTTGGATTTCTAAAATTACATCCACGTCAATGGATCATAACTGACTTCTATGAATTCCTTGACAGAAACCATCACTAGGGATATATCTATGCAGCAAAATGAAAGTATGATTGTAGCAAGGGAGGCATTTCAGAGCTGGTTCACCTAGTGTGGAACAAATGTAACATGGCAGCATGGGCGAGCAACCACACTATAAGCCCACTTGGAAACCCTGGAAAAAGTGACTGTAGCAGTTAAATTTAGAAAATTGGGGAAATATGCAAACCCTAAAGGACACCAGATAGAACCTGATAAATATTTGTCTAAGCACTTGGGATTAAATGCACAAAGGGACTTAGGCCTTGCAACACTCTGCATTAGCAATCAAGCCATGAGTGTGTCCTTCTGGCTCATGACATCCAATGTGTAGAAAGCACTAGGGACCTAAGAGTGGAATCCACAAAGCTTATCTGCTGAGTAGCCCAAGCTGGCTAGTAGGGCATACTGAAGAGATGTGTGTGGCATACGCTCTACTATGGCCCAGAAATTAGGGCAGCGCGGTGGGACTTTCCTACAAAATACAGTGGGCAGGAGGCGACTTTTATTTTGTTACCTCCTTCCTGAACCACCACTGCTGATGGTTCAAGTAATAGCTCAGGGGCTGGAGAGCCAGCTTCAGACGAAGGATCTGAGACTTCTACCCATATCTCTTAGGAATGTGTTTTGGCCACCCAAGCATTCTGGGATGTGCTCCTTGATGTAATTCCTGCTAGTGTGGGTCTCTTTTGCATGACACACATGAATGTTTGTTGGAGCAAGGCTGGAAGAGTAGTACTCTCAGTCCAGGTGAGTGCTCTAACAGAGGGTGATAACATCTGTCTCTTTCTCTCATAGCTAAAGCGACATTTAATTATTCCATGAAAAGGCAAATACTGTTCAGTAGGACAGACAGAAAATTTCTCATTCCAAAGTATCCTACAACCTGGGCTTATAGCATTCTCCAGGGGACATCTCCATGCTTGAGCAGCCTCAGCCAAAAGCAGGAACCAAATTAAGTTCACCTACAACACAGGCAAATGTTCTAACCATGAAGATATATGGAAAACAACGTCAGCCTCTATTCTGTTCTGAAAAAAAGCACTACCTGTGCAAAGCATATCTGAACTTGTGTAATAAATCAAGCACCTTAGCTAACAGAAGGGGAGCAACGCCTGAAATATAATCTAGGTGCTCTCCTCCCTTGCCTGACAATGTCAGAGTAGGCTGTGTACCTCCTAAGGCACAACTAGCATTTCAGGGACTCACAGAAAATGAAGGTTGAAAGTTGAGACCTCCAGTGAGTTGCAACAATTCTGGGGTCTGGCTGGCCAAGGAAGGCTTTTACAAATGGCAGTTTGGCTTTAAATCCTTACAGCAGGGATTATGTTGGAGGCGGATGTTCAAATGTTTCTCTGGCTCTAATTGCTATGGGTATCAGATGCTTTCATGGTCAGGTGGTGGTGGGAAGTGGAGAAGTAGTGAAGTGAAGTTGGGAAGTGAAGACCTCAACGGTGCCTATATTGGATTGAGGTTGCAAAAGTACCAGTTTGAGGCCTGTGTCCCTTTGTAGATTTAAACATTCCTCATTTCATGAAGCAAAGGAGTCTGACTTCTCTGGAACCTATAGCAAACACTTTAAAAACCACAAGTAGGTATCTTGTTTTCCCCTAGAAGGTTTGCTTCATAATCCCCACTTTAAAGGAGTCAGTATTGCTTTAATCAGTTTGTGGATTTAGCCCCGACATTTAGCAGCTCTTTTTCTGTACTGAGCTGCTGATATAAGTATGTTTGCAAGTATGTGGCATGTCATCTATGGCAAGAAGAGAACTTTTATTCTGTACAGAAATCATAGAATCATAGAATCATTATGGTTGGAAGAGACCTCAGAGATCATCAAGTCCAACCGTATACTCGATGCCACCATGCCCGCTAAACGCACTAAACCATGTCTCAAAGCGCCACATCTAAATGTTTTTTGAACACCTCCAGGGACGATGACTCCACCACCTCCCTGGGAAGCCCATTCCAATACTTAATGACTCTAACAGTGAAGAAATTCTTCCTAATGTCCAACCTGAACCTCCCCTGGCGCAACTTGAGGCCGTTTCCTCTCGTCCTATCGCTAATTACCGGGGAGAACAGACCAACCCCCACCTCGCTACAACCTCCTTTCAGTTAGTTGTAGAGGGTGATCAGGTCTCTCCTCAGCCTCCTTTTCTCCAGACTAAACAAACCCAGCTCCCTCAGCCGCTCCTCGTAAGACTTGTTCTCCAGGCCCTTCACCAGCTTTGTTGCTCTTCTCTGGACACGCTCCAGCAGCTCAATGTCCTTTTTGCAGTGAGGGGCCCAAAAGTGGACACAGTATTCGAGGTGCGGCCTCACCAGGGCAGACTACAAAGGGATGATCACTGCCCTAGTCATGTATCTACACATTTCTTTTCAATCCATCAAGTTCTGTAACACTTTGAGAAGGAAGCATACTTCAGATTTGCTTTGTCATTTTTTGACTCTAGCAAGGAATACAAAACATAGTGGCAAGAAGTGCTCTGAGGAACACGCATTTCAAGTCAGAAGACAGCAAGTTTTGCCGGTGGGTGGCACTGTGAAATAAAACGAGAGGAGCAGCCGAAAGGAAAAGCAAGCGGCACAGCAAGAAAGACAGGAGAATAACTGTTGGAAATCAAATACTTCTGACATGTTTACAGGATTTATGGGTTTCCAATATTTATTTACTGCTTTCATTTCACACTTTCCAAGTTACATATTGCATTGTAAAACTGCTGTGTACGGCTATCAGGAAATAAACATTTTGGAACATATGGTTCTTGACCAGCTCTGAATTAATTTATTTCATCATCCTTTCCATGGCTTACTGCAGCTGCCTATTTATTTTTTATAATACCATGATGCACAATTAGAAGCAATTAGAAGCTGAAATATATGGGATATCTCTCTCAAATATAAACAACTAGTCATCTTTGCATTTATTTCTCAATAACCACAGAATAACAAAGAGAAATATCCTCCTTTGTCTAACAGT